AATTCCCTCAGCATTTGGTGTGCAGGCAGTGTTGTCACTGTTCTCCAGCCTGTACATCAGTGCTCTGCATTGTAGTGGAGGGGCAGGAAGGAAACCCAGCAGGCCAGAGAGACAGCAAGGCAGCAAGGACTCAGGATGCCTCTGTTCTTCAGGAAGAGGAAACCTAATGAGGACTCCCAGAAGAGACTGGAATATCAGCTGTGCCTGGTAAAAAAAAGTGTATTTATGTAACAACTAACCTGCAGTCAGCAAACTGCAACCATTTCTGTGGGATTAGGTGTATGCAGATTTTTTTTTCATCATTTCTATCTAAGAGTGTATACCAATTTTAGACAAACCCAGTAACCTTAATTCCTTGTTCTTCAGTCTAAGGAGGCAGGTGCTGATGACATCCTGGACATCTCAGCTTGTGAGCTCTCAGAGGTGAGGATGTCACTTTTATACAGCAAACAATATTTTTATATATTTGTACATACTATGTTGTATGTACAAATATAAAAGTTTGTATATGTACCATGTCTGTGTGTTCAGATTTGACTCAGTTTTTACTCAGAGAAGTGTAATTTCTAGATGCAAATTGTGCCAATCAGACATTAATGATTTTTGAACATGGTTTGTGTACATTGTGTCTGAGCAGTGGTGTACTACACACTGGGGTTTGACTAATATGGCAGTATTTATAGTTTAACATATTAGTGTTATTTCTGATGTATTTGTGGGTGATGGTAATTGATTGGTGATTAGTGACTGGACAGTGTGTGCTGTGTGGGAACAAGCCAGCTCAAGACCATCAAAAGTCACAACACAGATGGTAAAAGTGACTAAAAGCTGATTCCAGCTATGCTGGATTATATCAGATGACAGTTCAGGGTAAAGGACATCTCATTTGATTTAAAAAAAAAAAAAGTGTCTCCTCAAAATGCAAGGAAGAGATGAAAGTGAGAGAAACATGGACACAGTTGGGATGTACCCATTGATGGACTGGTTTTAACCAGTTTGCTTTCCATTTTCCATACATATGTTACTGCTGCATGTGCATAAGTAACTCTTTGTGAAATTCAGTATTAATTTGTGTGTGGTTAGTGCTGCAGATGACGACATCTCTTTCTGTTTTGCTGCAGGTTCCCTCAGGTACCTTTTCCATTTGTAAGGTGCTACAGAAGAAGGTAAGAATGCAGTGTGGAGCTGAAAAGTAAATGTTAATTTTTTTGTTATTCAGTGTATGTTAGAAATGTTCTCTTAGTCAAGGTGTGTGAATGTCCCTGGTTGACCAGTCAGCAGTCAGATATGTCCTCTTGCTCTACTGCAGGTCCTTATCCTTCACAGTAATGAACTGAGGTCATTGCTCCCCAAAGGATGTGACATCAGTGCTCTCACCACCTTAAAGGTGAGAATAGTGAGACATACTGTAAAAGCATATCATTGTGTTGTACAATTATAAAACCAGACACCTGTTTCATAGTCAGCTTTGAGTGAGCATCCCATTTGATGACAGTAACACGAACATTGATGATGGCTTCATTGATGATGATGTTTAGGAAAACCTAAACAATTCCTCATCACTGAACTAAACATGACTGAATCTGCCTCCAAAGGTTTTGGATCTGCATGAGAATAAGCTCACCTCACTCCCAGAAGACATTGGGAAGCTGGCATCATTGCAGGTAAAGCCTTTCTGAACTTGACTCATGCTAAAGCTGAAACAAGTGTGAATGAATGCTACTCATCGTTTGTCTGTTGTTTCATCTCCGGTCAGATTCTGAATGTGGAGAAGAACCATTTAAAGGTCCTGCCGGATTCTATTGGGGATCTGCAGCATCTGCAGACGCTCAATTTAAAGGGTATGATGCTTACTGCTTGCTTACCTGCCATTGAGTGGACATGAACAAGGTAAATGAAACTGGTTCTATTTTTCCCCATCACCGCGTATGTAATAGGTAACAAACTCAGTGAGCTGCCATCATCAGTTGGGCGTTTGAGCAGTCTGCGCACCCTGGACTTGAGTGACAACAAGGTTGTGCAGCTCCCCAAAGCTCTGGCCTACATCCGCACCTTAGAGGTGTGTATTCTTGGACGTACATTTACAGAAAAGCTAGTGTTAGATTTGGTTATATACAACATTTGAGTATGTATGTTTGCTGTGGCAGAGCTTAACACTTGATGCTGCCATGATGTCCTACCCACCTGCATCTGTGTGTACAGAGGGCACAGAAAAAATCCAACAATTCCTGTGCAGAGGTGAGTGCTTACTATGTGTTACCAACTATAGTGTTTGCCCACAAAAACACACGTACACAATCTCTCACTTTCCCTTGCCATGCATTTCTGTTGATGAACGTAGAAAATAACGGGAGCCCCAAGGTTAGCATAGGTTCAAGTTGAATTGAGGAGGTGGAAATATGCATTTGAAAATATGGAGGTGCTTCTGTTCTTATGTAACACTATGTTTTATCATTTATTTATTTCCTTTGGCTGTCGTGCACCCCCAAGCCTTTTCCTGCACTGCCCAGGAGCAGCCCCTTAGATTAAAGGTTAGAATTAAAGCATAAAGAATCAAAATATGCTCATTAATGTCTACGCCACACAGAGCTACTTTCTAATGACTGAAAATACAGCTGTTCACAGCCGCGCTCGTAGCTATGTGACGTACTTATGGTGTTTTTCCATTAGCACGGCTCAGCTCGCTTTAATCGAGCTGAGCAGGACGGACACGGGATGACCTCTGTTTGTTTCTGTTCCAAGCAGCAGGGAGTAATCGTGCTGACTCTGGCTTCAGTGTCTGGCCCCGCCCCCACGTGTTTAAGACGTGGAAGATAAACAGTGTTTTTTTATGGTGCAGTGGAAACATGACCACACTGACTCGGGAGCAACTCAGCATAGCTCTGCTGCGCACGCCTCAGCTTGGCAGAGCTGACCCGGGCTGATGGAAGAACACCATTAGGCACCGCTGTGCTTGGCATAAACCAAAGTGTTTTACCCTGATGTTAGCACTAATATTTACAATTCATCTCAATCCAAACCAATTTGTAATCTATCAAATAGTTATTCAGAGGTTTCAATCAAAGTGATAAACGTCATCCTCTTGGTGGCGCTACAAGAAAAGTCATGGGAATGTGTGGTTACGAGGATTCATCTTCTGGGCACTGCTAATGTCTGTACACGTCACTGTTGGTATGGTTATAGGTTAAAAAGATCACACTTCAGATCACACAGGACTGAAACTGTAAGGACCGCAACTTAAATCCAGGTTTACAATCCTTCACAACAGGTATAACAGATACCCCAAAGTGAAACGATGGAAATCACCAATGTCGAGTTTTTTGTATGAAATATTGTATGTAAGTATGCATTTAAAACCTCTTGGCTGATATGATTTTCAGAGCTGGGAGAGGAATACTGCCCCCCATCCCAGTACCTATTGCCAGTGCTGGAGAATGACTGTGGCAAACAGAACTCTGACTGTTTGGATGGCTCAGTGGAGATCTGGGAGGTACAGTGCGGGAGACATTACCATATGACCGTATACAGCCATATAAATGAATAGGTGTTCACTCCCAGTCAAATACAACTGTGTAGAGCTGTTTACCTGGACATTGTTATTTGCTGCCTGCACTCTATTACCCTGTTACTGTTGCCAACCTGTCATTTAACCATTCTTTACTTTTTGTTGCAGAGCAAATTCAGTGAATATGAGAAGAGAAAGGTGCGTAACTCCAGCCAACACAATGACTGTCTTATTGCACTCTAGATATCCAGAGATTTTAATGTAATTTATGCTTATCTGCAACTTTGCTGGTGGCCTGCCCTGTCAACTTAAGACAGCTTAGATGACAAGTCCTCCTTCTCCAGCACAGTGTCTTAGAGGATAGGCTTTGGAATATCTTATTTTTTTAGTAACTGGTGAGAGATGGTCCCTACTTGGACTTAAAGCTGTGCTAATCAATATTTTCAAATGAACAATGGGTCAGATTTCATTTGTACTGATGACAGAGCATTGTCACCATTTTGGCTTTTATTTTAGTGACTTAAACTATCTTATGGCCATCTGCAGTGCAGACTTATACTGTAGCAAGTCTTAAAGCTTTTTTAAAATAGACGTGTATATATGGTATGTCACTTCTCTGACTTGTCCCCCCCATCCTTCAGGAGCAGAAGCAGCAGGAGAAACTGGCTTTTGAGCGGCACCTGGAGGAGAAGCAAAAGGAACACACCCAACTTGTACTCATGAGCACCTCCCACAAGGAAGGCATCCTCAACTCAGTGCGACAGGTAAGATACATGCTCATTAGCGTTTGGTCTTACATTTCATAAGAATTCACCAGTGTTTGGTGCATTGTTTTTTACCTCTGCTAAAGTGGAGGTAAAGTTTTTGCCAGCGTTTGTTTGTCGGTTTATTTGTTCACAGCATACCTGAAAAGGTAATGAATAGATTCGGATGAAATGATTTAGAGATGTAGTGTATGCCTCTGCTGATCCAAAACACTACTGAATATAGTCTGTGATCCAGAATATTCACATTTATAGGGCTCATGGAAAACTTGCTACTGTGAGAGAACAAATAATGCTACAGACTTGCAACTAAGATGAAATTTTAGCTGAAACTCCTCTGTTTCAGCAGGGTGTCAACAAATTTGACCTATCTTTAAAAATTTACTGAGCCAGATCCTGAAGAAAACCAGCAATACTGAAATACTGATTTCATTGAATCATTTTCAAACTAATAATGATACCAGTGTGATTCCAAATGCCAGCGATAGGTTTCCATGGTCAAGGAATCGTATAATGTTGGTCAAGATACCATGATAATATTGCTTTTGATGGAATGACATTACAGGTGCAGTGCACTGCCTTGGCGGAGATTTGCAATCTGTGAGCTTTATAATATATACAAGGTACATATAACGGCTCACAAATCTGAACTATCGTTTTTATTCCCCCACGCTGGTGATAGCTGTGGCCAGAGGCATTATGTTTTTGGATTATCCATCTATATGTCCATATGGCCCATTCTTGTGAATGCAGTATGTCAAGGACTCATTAGATTTTGGTTGTCAGTGGTCGAGGTCAGTGACCTCATGTCTGTCCCATTCAACTGGTTGGAGGGGCGATAGAACGGTGAAGGGGTAATTCTATTTTAAAAACGTTCACCAATTTCCTTTAAATACTCACATAGTACTTATTAGTAGAATACATTCATTGTTGGTTTTAATTTTTTTCATGGGATTTTGCCATAACAAAAATAAACAAATAAAAATCGCCAGGCCTGTCCTTCAAACAATGGAGTGACACCTAAACTAATTGCAGTATATAGTGTTGTTTATAGAGAATCTATGCTAAAGTTGGCAACTGGACCTGCCTTAGATTCTTGAAGACATTTCACCTATCATCTCTCAAGCTTCTTCAGTTCTGACTGAACCGTTGACTAATGGTTGAGATGTACATTTAACCTCTGTGGAGTCATTAACTTATGGCCTGTTGACATCACATACGGGCACTGATGAGATACTGCAGTCCCCATGGCTTAAATTCACCTCATTTGCTTTATACACTGGTACTGTACCCAGCTATAGACAGTGAAACAGCAACTACAAGAAACAGCTAACCTCCAGCCAATCTGTTTAGTCTGACAGCTTTTGATTTCAGCGATAATTAGTGCGTATTATCTGTCTGATGTTCAGGAGCAGGAGCGTCTGGAGCAGGGAGTCAGCCAGCAACAGAGGGCGCAGGAAGCCGAGAGGCTGCTGGTGTTACAGAAAGTCCGACAAGTTGAAGATGGCATCAGCACTCGTATCAGCAGCATGCTGATGGACAACAACCGGTAGGACCCAAAAGAAATGGCTGGGTTTTGTTGTTCAGATGTGTGGATATTTTTGTCACATATTAGATACTGATGCAGTCCACAAATGCCTCTCTGCTAACTGCAGTCTATGTTTTTTTAACTTTCCAGGCAGAAAAAGAGCGCTGAGTTTCTTCAAGCCATGGAGGAAGATCGGTGAGTGGACAGATAACTGATCCATAATAGACTTACTAGGCTGAGCCTGTTTATAGATCACAGACAATACGATGCAGTAAGTGCATTCTGGGGAAGGAAAATAAAAACACAATGACAGAACACTGCAGGTCTTAAAAACATCAGCATGCACTAGTGGGAAAATATACTGTATTAAAATATTATTAGGTTAGGACATGTTATGTTGTCAGATGGTTTTTACTTTTTGAGACAGTGTCTTGGTGTCTTTGTTTCATATTTGTAGTTGCTCATCTAGCCATCTGTGGCTAATTTTATACCTGCTTAACATCAGCAGGTTAGCATGTAGCTCGAAGCATCTCTGTCTCTAATTGTAGCCTCAAAGAGCTGCTAGTGTGGCTGTAGGGCACTTGGTAAACTGGTGTGATGGAGTATGTCTGTGCACTGATATACTCCACAGTGTTGTACACTAATTGTGACTTTGGCACAAACACATGCGTGCACACACATTTTGTGTTTACATCCTGTACTTTGTAGCATTAAGTTGATTTGAACTTTTGAGTTGTGCACAACTCCCTTACTGTTTAAAGTCCCCAAACCATTACTATAAAAATGTTGCTCTTGACTTCTCTCAGAATCCGTATGGAGCAACTGACTGCTATCACACAAGAAGAAGCCAATTCACTGAGGAAGAGGGAGGTTGCAGGTGAGCAGTTTGGTGGATGAGCTTAAACTTCAGTTGTTCCATGTGAGAACTTGTTGAATTATGTTGTCTGTCTATATACACAAGACACCTTTGTTGTTACAGATGTGCACGAGTGTATAGAACGAGAACAAGATGTCTTATTTTCCAAGATTGCCTTGAAATTCAAGGCTACTTTTATGGTCTTCCCCTAGGAAAAAATTCTCAGACTAATGGAATTACTGCATATATCCACCTATACCCTCTCTGTGTGTGTTTGCAGTGGCCATGCAGAAGATGCTGTCAGATAGCTGTGCTATGAGCTTCCTCCAGGAGGCCAATGACTGTCGCAGACAGAACCTGGTCTCTGAGGCTTGCAAGAGGTTAAACATGCGCACACACACAAACACAGACATCAGATCTAAGCAGATGGATGGCAACATTGCAAACGTATGTGGACCAAAGACTTCAAAGCTTTGAGAAATATATGAAACTTGATGGTTTTTTTCTTCTGTTGTCTTGTAATAGTATGGAGAATTTGGACAGGAAGTTTGATAAGATGCTGTCTCTCCAAATGTTGGACAAATCTAAAGCCATCACCCAAATCTTACAGGAGGTATGTGGTGCCGGAGTATTCTGTAGTTCTGTAACACTTTCTTCTTTGATGTCACTGCTCTTATGAGAGCTTGGTGGAGAAATCAAAGTCACTGTGACCTGCTATTTCCTTTTGATTGTGCTTTGCAGGAGGAGATGCAGAAAGCAGCTTTCCAGGCTCTGCAGCTACAGAAAGATTCTGTCCACGGCTACATCCGCAACCAGGTCTGTGTGGACGGGCGGAGATGGGCGGGAAGAGTTTTTTTTTTTTAACAACACTGACAGCATATACCACACCATCACATGAAGAGCTATACAGTGCAGGATGTACTGTATATTCATGGTGTTGCTCAGTCTACGGCAGAGACATCCCAGTTTAGCTTTTACTTTCTGTTTGCTTTTCCATAAACAAGAACGGATCTACAAGAGTGCATTGTGATCAGAGGGAGTTACTGTCTCATATGATGACACTAGAACCATACTCATGTCTTCCATCCATCCATTTTCTTCCGCTTATCCGAGGCCGGGTCGCGGGGGCAGCAGTCTAAGCAAAGATGCCCAGACCTCCCTCTCTCCAGACACTTCCTCCAGCTCCTCCGGGGGAATGCTGAGG